GCTTAGAACCTTCTTAATATCCAATAGAGCAAAATGCAAATTCTTGCACTTTTTTGATTGGGCTTAAGATTTTGATCAGGAGTGTATATATAATTTTTTTATTATTATTATTTTACTGGAAATGTTGATAAAGACTCATATTTAGCAGCCTACATTGTTATTTTTTTAGCTGTTCCTGATCACACCCTGTAGTCCCTCACTGTTTGTGTTGATTAAGAAATGTACATCACGTGCGCCTCACACAAGCAGATGAGAAAAAAAAAGTTCAGTTAGACCAGGGGTTCTCAAGCCTGGGACATTACATACATACTCATGCAGCTATTATGTTGTAACATGTGTACACAAGTTTCCTGTGCTGTTTTGAAAAGTATACAGTTTATTTGTTGTATTTTCCAGACCTAGATGGATAGGAAAGTTGGAAACATTAATGTTTTCATAGCTGTTTTTATATTCCTTTTTTTTTTCTTGTTTTTGTTTTTGATGCTTTAACCAGAATCTTAATTAAAAAAATAACATATGTTTATATGCAAAAGTTGCTTATAATTATCATGATTTAAACTTTTGTTTTATCTACCAAATGAAGCTATGAATTAAGCATTTTAGCTATCAGTATTGTGAAATGTGAGAGCTCACAGATACAGACTCTTATAGGTTTACAGGTGTGATGACTGTATGGGTGGGGCTCAGGTGGTTGAGAAGTCCACAACTTCTTCAGATGTGTCTGAAAATACTGAACCCTAAGTTACTTAAAATGACAGCACTCTGTGATATTTCCATCTAACTGGGAACAAGGTTTTACAGAATTAGCATCGTGTCACATTGCAGATGACTTGACCTCTGTGATCAAAATCATACTTATGAAAAGGTTTAGACAGTTTGTGGCGTCTTACGATGTTTAGGACATACTGATAAAAACAAGCACAACCAGTATAATAATGTTAAATGTTTGTACTTGAACATGAAAAACGTCCCCACAAATCAATGGAGATCTGGAAATTTGAGTGGAAAAGTCCTGAATTTTGTTAAATAAAACGTGTTATCTTCTAAACAATAAGAATAAATGTTAAACAGACGTAGCAGCAACATTGTAACTTTTTTGTTATTGTGTCTTTAACCAAATTTAAAAACTCCAATCAGCCTGCGTTTGTCACTGTCACTCTCCTCAGGCTTGACTACTCGGGCATTGCACTTCTAATCATGGGTTCCTTCGTGCCCTGGCTGTACTACTCGTTCTACTGCTCCCCTCAGCCTCGACTTATCTACCTCACCATTGTATGTGTTCTTGGCATCGCCGCCATCGTAGTTGCCCAGTGGGACCGATTCTCAACACCTCGTCACAGACCAACGAGAGCAGGTGAGGATGGTCTGAGCCTGTCACGGTTTCACAGTGCCGTTTGCTTCAGTTCATGATTTTATAGCTTTTAGTTTCACTTCTGTCACCAGTTCTGCTTTTACTCCAGAGATCATTGATGACACACTGTTTGTTCGGAAATCCCTGTTATTTAAGTAATTCCAGATATTGTTGCTCTTAGGTGTATTTATGGGTCTTGGACTGAGTGGCATTGTCCCCACCATGCATTTCACCATCGAGGAGGGTTTTGTAAAGGCCACCACAGTCGGACAGATGGGTTGGTTCTATCTGATGGGTGCCATGTACATCACTGGTGCCGGCTTGTATGCAGCAAGGATCCCTGAACGCTTTTTTCCTGGAAAGTGTGACATCTGGGTAAGTGCTTAATGTGCCGAATGTGGGCTGCAGGAAATAAAGAGAAATTAACCTAAAAGAATTCAGTTTTTTTTACTCAAATATGGAGCATCACTATCAAACTATACATTTTTTTGATTAATATTAGATTATTTATTTGTTTATTTATTTAACTGCAACTTTTGATGTTTTTCAGTGAACAGACCAAAATTTTCTAATATGCAAATTTGTCTAAATTACAGGCATTTGATAAAAAAAATCTTATAATTTACCTGCTTTTTGTCAGCTGTTGGTATACTTCAGAAATATAGAGATAAAGACAAATAGACAGTACGTTTGATACATAAAATAGAAAAATTATTAAAACTAGGTCTTTATTGTCATGTTCATTCATTTTTTATAGTGACTAAATGATTTAGTTCTTAATGAACATAATTTAATTTTAATTCAACACAATGCAGTTTGATGAAATACAACAAGACAAAACAAAGTAATAATAGAACATAATGAGACTATTAAACTAGTGCAAATGATGTTTCACAGTCAGGCCATGATTTGCAGTTTTAGTACACTTGTATAAAGTCTGGTTCTCAATTAAACACAAAGGTACAGGGAGAATGAAAACTGGCCAGCTACAAATGTCCTTTTATGAAATCAGTTTCTGCTTTAAGAAAAGTTTAAAAAGATGTTTTTTTAAACTGTTTACAAATTACAGGAAGGTAAACTTAAAACTAAAAATGTGAAACTGCAAAGAAATACAATTAAATTAAGTGTCAATTTCAAGTATAGCGTCTATATATATTTTTTAAACAAAAGGATAATGTTCAGTGTGACTAACACACACTCTTGTGTCTCTCCTCCTCATAGTTCCATTCTCATCAAATCTTTCATGTCCTGGTCGTGGCTGCGGCGTTCATTCACTTCTACGGGGTTTCCAACCTGCAGGAGTTTCGCTACGGCCTTGAAGGAGGATGCACAGACGACTCTTTACTCTAAAAGACCCAACTGTGACTCGCTTATCTTTACACTTTCAATCACACACACACACACACACACACACACACACACACACACACACACACACACACACACACACACACACACACACACACACACACACACACACACACACACACACACACACGAACTGCTGCTGGAATCGAGTATAGTCACTTATTGCTCCTGCTGATTTGCTTACATCTTCTTTGGGTTTTAGTGGTCTTTCTGCATTTGGCTTTTTATTTTTCTCCAGTAAAGTAGCATTAACTAGCCAATGTACTTCAGAGGGAACGGGGGATTACTTTACTACTATACCTGTCAGTTTTGGAGTTGGGGTCTTCAACTAAGAAAGCTTGAACTTAAACCATAAGCGTGCGTTGCTGAAACAGATAGTCTGCTCCTATGATCTCTCTGTTACCCTAACCTCTTCATAGTCTGTTACAGTTGCACAAAGGGTGCAGAGAGTATTATTTGTGCCACAGCAAAAGGCACAGACTTAAGTCATTCCCCTCATGTGCAGGTTTTAGGTCAATGGCACGGTTCACAGGACGTTTGGTGCACAGCAGTACATGGTGTTGTAGACTTTTGAGAATTCAAATGCAAATGTAAAAGGAAGAAAACCATAAACAATCTATTGTAGTTCCTTTTGTTTTTTATTAGTTCTTACACTCAGTTCTTTTAAAACTCCACAGGACCACTGAGAACTCAGATTTGGCATTTACGCAGCAAAAAGCACTTCAAAAGCCCATTAAGTACCAAAAATTTATGTTTTAATAGTTTTAGGCTAAATCTGTAACGTCTGTTTGGGCACTAMGGGAAAGAAAGGAGTTTCTCACTGAAGTGAAGCACATGCAGCAATGTTTGTTAATGTGCTTTTTAAAGTAATAAATAAATAAATCTGTTGTTTTGGATTAACATAAATGATGAAACAAATTAAATGCATTTAAATACTTTGTTGAATGTCTTTTGGAAAAAATTGGTTGAGTTTTATTGTGATGACAAATCTCCCCAAAGAAGGAAGTTTTAAATTGTTTAATGAGACAGAAAAGTTGTCATTGAAACTCGGACAATAACTACATACTTGATCATTTTTTGTATTGTTGAAGTAACCCATCTTTAATAAACATCTAGTTTTCAACAGTGTACAGATCTGAAGCAGCTAAACTGCTTTTTTCTTTTTTGTCAATTGGGAGATTTTTTCCTTTGTGCTTGATTTTTAGATGCAAAGACAGGTGTAAATATCAAGTGCACCTTACTGTAAATTATTAAATTCAAGACTTTAAATCAGCAAATGAGGTTTAAAATGTGTTCCGTTTGATTTCTATAAACTTTGAGTATACTTGTGCCTTAGGCCAATGGAAATGTTTTTAAATAAAGCGGCCTATCTTAACAGTTACGTAAGCATCAAGGTTTTCCAAGTACTCACTTCTTTCGTTTTTGTTTTCCATACATAATAAATACTAAGTCAAATTATTATTATTAAAGTTACAAATCCATTGATAGGTTGTAAGAAATGCTGTTAAAAAATTCCTTTTTCTAGACGATCTTCAAGCTTTATTACAAAAACTAAAAAAAAATGTATCTTTGACTTTGTGTTCTGTCGTGTAGAAAAAATCAACCCATACAATTCTCTGAAATGACAACCTAAATATTTATTAATGATAATATTGGAAAATTATTGTAATAAATTTTTTTCCACATGTATAAAATGGTGTTTGTTTTTATTATTTTTGGTGGGGGTTGTGAGCCAATGTAAGCCTTTAGGAAAATACACATTTATTCAAATGTAGGACTTTATTAATAACTGTCTAGACTACAATATTCATTTTTTACTTCTGTCTTGTCAAGCAAATATGTGTCCTCTGTTTAAAATGGGGAGGAAGAAAGACCGGTTGATGTTGGTTAAAATTCTTATTTTTCTTTTCACACCAAAATAAAACACACCACATATTGAAGTTTCATGTTTAGTATCCTAAAGCTTATTTACTTCAGCCGTTCAGATTTACAAGTAATAGAACACATCTTAATTTAAAAAAACAATTAAAATTCCTCATTTTAACTCTGTGTAAATTTCAAATAATGTTTTCTTTAATGTACCACAAATTTAGAATGTCTAACCTTTTTATTAAACTGTTTTTCATTTATTGTATATTTTTTATTATCACTTGTATAAGATAAGCCTGGTAAAAACCAGACCCTTGTCCTTCGCTTTGCTCCGGACGAGGAAGAGCAGAAGTTTAAGGCAAGGGCCAAGCTAATAGAATGTAACAATCCATGATTTAAAACAAAAGAACCCATCACAAAACCCAAAAGTAATAGTTGTCTTTCTCAGCTCAGCAGATATGTTTGACCAAATTAATTTTCGTTTTTGAACTACTTTATTTACACTGTACAGTTATTTGAACTAGCATATTTCTTAAACTGAAACATTTATATAGCATGGCATTTTATTTGTTCTATTTTTAAAGCCCAATATTTTTTACCATCATAATTATGGTGTTTACACTAAGAATACGGTAATCCTATTCCTGCTATTTTGGAGAACTGTTGTGGAGGAACCTTTTTTTTTCTTTCTCTTTTTTTATGAGCAAGGGACCTCGAGGCCAACGCTTGTTTCAGATCGAGAGCATTTACTAGCTGCACTTTAAGATCAGTTAGCATGCTAGCCACAGCCAGCTAACTTGCTTGTCTGATTTATTTTTCTCAATTTCTCTACTTTACATTTCAAGTAAGTATTATATGTTCTAACTAAAATAGGTGTAAGTTTTATCTGTGTACATGTAGTCGTTATCTTTATCTTTATTTGTAGGCGAAATTCAATGTTAGCATCGATGGAAAAATGTTTCTGTAACGTTGCTCTTCTGAACCTTTTTCATTTTAAATTATTGTATTAAGCTGCTTTCAGGGTCTAGTGTTCGTGTTTTGCGTCAGTGTGTTTCTCCAAGCTACACCCTTCGATTTTTGTGTGTTTTTGAATAAAATTATTGTGTTGTCAGGAGTCGAAATGGACAACGATCAGGAGGGATCCAAAGAGAGYTCTGACCAAACCGAGCTGGTGTCTGAGGACGGCAAGAATACMAAGTCTGTTCTGTGTCAACGCTGCGGTTCCAAGGTGCTGTGCCCTGCCATGGCTATGTTTACCGAGAAGGAGGTATGATGGATTTTATTGGATGGATGGACGGACGGATGGATGGATGGATGGATTGCTGGATTTTTAAAATTCAAATATCAATTATTAACGATAAATGCAATAAGTATTACCAAGCATATACTACTAAACAAGTAGATGCATGCAGAATAAATACGCCCACATACTGTCTGGTWTGGGAACTTCAGGTTCTTCTCTGTTTCATGCAGACACAGGTGTCACAATATAATATATCGCAATAGATTGCAAAACTATAAGCAAGGCACTATATTGCCAATTTTTTTCTTCAGAAGATTCAGATTTTTTTTTAAAATCAGTATACAGAGCACATCATGCATTACATGCATAAAACCTGATCAAATCCAATCAAATTTTTATCGATTTGGCCTTAACTAAAAAATTATACAGTGCTTTTGAGAATTGATACAGTGTCAGGAAACGAAATATCATGATATTTTAGTGTATCAATATTTTTTATACCCCTAGATACATTTGGCCAAATGAGCTCTGTCGTAGGGTGTCCTGGCTCAGCCTTAGAGATAGGGTGAGGAGCTTGGTCATTTTGGGGAGAACTTGGAGTAAAACTGCTGATCTTTTGCATCAAAAGGAGTCAGTTGAGGTGTTCAAGCATATGATTAGGATGCTCCTAGACGTCTCGCTTTGGATGTATTTATTTTATTTTATTTTTTGTGTATATTCCACTGGGAGAATGCCCTGGAGTAGACACAGAACTCACCAGAGKGATTATAATGTATAGCCTCTCTGGCCTACCGAACACCTTGGGGTTCCCAGTAGGAAATGGAGAGAAGGATGTCTGTCTGCAATCAGCAGCAGAAAACATAAAGCAAATATGAATTCTAACTTGATTCTAGCTCTGTCTAACTCCTGTTTTTTTCCATCCCCAGCTGTTCCTACCGGCCATGCGGAAGAAGAGCAGCTCCAACACTGCTGAGGGCTCCGTCAACGGTGACACACTGACCGCCCACTGGTTAGTGGACGACATGCTCACTTTTGAGAACRTGGGTTTCACAAAGGATGTGGGGAAAATCAAGTACCTCATCTGTGCAGATTGTGAAATTGGACCAATCGGCTGGCACTGTTTGGATGACAAAAAGAAATTCTATGTGGCTTTGGATAGGGTGAACCATGCATAATGTTTTTATGCATTTGTGAGCCCACACGGACCTCATTAAATGTTTTGGCAGGCTATGCATTGTTTTTATGGATTTATGCCCAGTTTACCCCGAATAAGTCCATCGTACACACACTCACTGATACTGTACTGTTAAAGGGATTGTGCCATGTTCATTTCCATCGATCATAATGGCATKAGTACAACCATTCTGTTCTAATAAAGTTATTAATGAAGTCATTATTTGAATGTCATACTTGTTATATTTGTTACCGTCACCTAGATGAAACAGTTTAGAACAATTTACAATAAGTCCCTTAAATTAAGTGAATATTAGATTAAGGTGCCACTGCAGTGCTGGTATGGATGCTATTAATCCATCAGCATTAATATTATTTTTAATCTAATCTAGAGATGCTGACATGGTTTATTTGACAGTAATTAAAAAGTAGCATCTTTGAAACACTATAAACAAGGAAGCAATGCAGGGTAGTTTGTACTTAACATGTGTTAAAGTAAAATCTTTTAATTGCCTGGATGTCAGCGTTGTGAACAGAAGGTAAAGATTACAGATATGTACACAGTTACCAACTTTGTCCTTGCATCACAAAAACATTGATTGCCCCATCCTTAAAAGTGCTCTGAAATCTGTGATTTTAATTTGAAAGAAAATGTGAGCAGTGCAAAACTCTTTTAATATCTGTAAGTACATCACTTAGAGGCCTTCCCAGTTTGACCATCTCCTTAAACCTCCATTGGGGACTGATTTAACTGTGTAGTTCCACTACACAACACTAGATGTCCTCGTTTTATTGTTTGAGAAGCTCATCACAATGCTGCCAAATAAATGTTCTATGTCATGTTCTATTGTTCTTGTGCTGGGCACTTTTTAACCATGTACACACAGTGAACCAGTCCCTAATAAATCCTGTGCGATCATGTTAACCAGCTGAGCACAGTGTCTACTGTGTTTACTACTACAGACGTTTCTGAACTGTCAACATCTATTCATCGTGATTGTAGTTTTTTTTTCCCCGCTTTCCTTATTTCGTTTTGATCAATGCAAATGCTTTGTCAATATGCGACGTGTGCTGATGACCTCTTGACCAGGTCACCCTTGTAAAAGAGATCTCGATCTCAACGGGCTCTACCTGGTTAAATAAAGGTGATTGATTGATTGATTGATAGATACTGGTGTGAGTCCTTCATGGGTTTAAGCTTCCTTTTGTATACCTGTGTTTGCATTAGTGCCAATAGTGAAACCACTATGAAAAGATGAGTTTTGTGTTCAGAAACCCTTTAAAAAAAGGATTAGAAAGTATATGTAAAATGTATGCAGCTGTGCTACTGTGTGTTCTCTTTTAAATCATAAAACTGAATCTGTAGAAGTTACAGCAATAAAATGTAATTCAATATTAGACCAAAATAAGTTTACAGAATTTGAATGATCTCATTTGTCAGTAGGGTAAAAAGTATTATAAGCAAGTCCTTAAGGGGAGCTTTGTTGATTTATACATTTCCCGTTTTTTAATCTAAAAGTCAAAGAAAAATAGTGGTTCCACTTTCTGAAAGTAAAAACCGAGAACAGGGACATTCAAATGAAATGTGAAAAGTCAGTGGTATTTTTAGTTTCAGATGTGCAAAAACAATAATTACATTTTCAAAGTACTCTTTGAAGGTACTCCAGTATAATGCATTAGTGTAAAACTCTGCTTATGATTAAATGTTTTGCCTGTAATCTTCATCTACAGATTAATCACAATCAGCCAACAAAGAACTGAAGAGGTGTACATCAAGCAGTGAGTGAAGTCAAATTTATTTAAGAGTTTTTGGCACATATACTTAATTATACTGTCCTACTTTTACATTAACAGTATTTAACAAAAATACAGGAGTCAATTCAGGACTTCAGGAAACAAAATGTTTGTTATATAAAAAAAATAAACAGTTGGTTCCATTGACATATGACTGCTGCCCACCAATGAACGAGCTTCTTCAGACCATTTAAAAACAAAGTCCCGGCCAGCGCGCAACAATCTGATGGGTGCATTCGATACGGCTGTCCGCTCCGCGCAGCCGGGCGGCGTCGTGCCCGTCAACACAACCTATCCATTCGTGTGTCACCCCACGAAACTCGGTGCATCTTCGTGTCATAGAAAGAAAAGTATCAAACACTAACAGAGAGGGAATTGTTTGTAAAGAAAACACGGAACCAATAAGCCAAAAATGTCGAACTACGTGTATAAAATGAGCWAACAAACTCTTATGTTTAACCATTTAACATTTTTTTAACATACAATAGAATTACTATTGCGCCGTTTCTGAGTCGCAACTCCCGATGATTAATACGCACTTTATTTTAGGTTATATTGTTTCATAAAACATACTATACTTTTAAACAATTGGTGTTTACAATTAAATAGCATATATGCCTAGTTTTGAGTTAGACAACGACTACGTCTTTGGTGTCTACTTTTCGAAGCGGACGCGCACAGTCTCCGACTCACTAAGCTGGTCTCCAACTAATTCGTCTTTGAGTTGAATGAGTGGAGTGTGGACATGAACTGAAAGACTAACATTTGCAGCTGCCATAACTGGCGTGAAGAAGCCCCTTTTTTATATTTTATATATATTTTTCTTCTGCTGGGGTCGTACCGAAGATGCAACAATGACTCAACCGCAGCTAAATGAGTTCATTCCTCCCCCGGAGTGCCCTGTTTTTGAGCCCAGCTGGGAGGAATTCGCCGACCCTTTTGCGTACATCAACAAAATACGACCAATTGCTGAGAAAACCGGTATCTGCAAGATCCGACCACCGCCGGTGAGTACGTCGTCACGGTGACCCTCGTCCCGGGTCCGTGCGTGTTGTGGCGGCCTCGGCCGCTGTGGATTATTTAGCAGGCAAAGTTGTGTTTTTAGACAGGTTTCAACATGGCGGATTGCGGCTCTGTGTGGACTAGTTGGAGTGGGTTCATTTGGCAGCCAACGGTCAGCGGCTCTCAGACGAGCCTTTCAGGAGGGGGAAATTAGTGTCCTGCACGAAAATTAACCCTCCAAAAATAATAAACGTAATCACAATATTACAGCACGAGCTAAAACAAAATTAAATTTAAAAAAAAGAAGAAATTCAAACAGTGAAGTTTGCCTGTACGCAAAAATAATGTAAATTGCGCAGAACGAAGTCGCAGTTCCTGGAGTTTGAAAAGACTCACTCAGATGTTTGAACTGCTTATTTGACTAACGCACAAAAGGAAGGGTTTTAAATGTTAAACACAGTTTTCTGAGCAGGATGTGACGGATTGGTGTGTGTGTGTGTGGGGGGGGGAACCGAGCCTGCTCGAATTGGGCCTGTTTAAAGCTGCAGTTTGTACGTGCTCGGTGACCAAGTGTTTATGGAGAAAAAGGGTTCCTCCAACACGGTCCTTATGGACTGAGCTGGTCTCTTTGTATCCTGGTTGCATTATATTTAAACACCGCTGTGGTCATTATTTTCTGGTGTTATTGTTTTGGGGGTTCGTACCCACATGCAAAATGTCATCATAATAAATCTCCTTATTATTGTAATGTCACAAACATTTATTTTATTTAGTTGGGGGTATTTTTGCCACGACTTTCTGATGATGACTCATGAAATGTAAAAACTAACAAAGACAAAASAAATATCAAAATAAACAAAACTCAAATTAAAATGAATTTATCCTCATTTCTATGATGGGAGACAGCAGGTCCCTTATTCAAGGGTGTGCCCTTGCATTAACTTCTGTTGGAGATAAAGGGCAGATTCCAGTGACAGAAATGGTGGATGGTGTTATTTTGTGGCAGGTTTTCTCTGTCATTTTTAGGGTGAATGGCCGTCTTCAGATAAACTTAGGAAGGAGATAAAAAAAAACCCACTTTGCACGACAGGGAAGGGGTACAAGGAAGTGGATTGTTATCAGAATCTAGAGGGTGGGGTGTCAGCTCAGTGTTGGCTCGTCTGAGGCCTGAAAAAAAGCTCTGCTCATGTAAACAAAAGACCTGGCAGAAGGGTTGAACAAAGATTGGCCCCTGATGGCCTGTTTGTCCTGAAGCTAAATAGCAAAAATACAATTTAATCAAAATAAAACAAGAAGGCTTATCAACAAATGTACAAACTTCCTTTTGGTTTGTGTTCACTTGTGCGTTAACATTTATCATGTCTCAGCTTGTGTAAATAAATGGTTAAATCTACAAGTTGTCTGCACAAGCCAGAGGTTTTCTTCAAAAGTGTTAGATAAAAACTTTTCATGTCCCCGAGAGAACTTCAGAACAATCTGAATTTGAAGATTTTAATTGGTTTTAAATCATGTAATTTTTGAACTTGTATGATAAAATAAAAAAACATCAAACAAAGGAACACGTTTACTCTTTAAGATTAAATAACTCAGAGGACACAGCTTTTTTTATTTCATGTTTTCTCTTCACAAGGAGTTTTCAGAGCGGAAGTAAACATAGCACCACAGCTTTTTTTTTCCCTCCTATCAGTGATTTCTGAGTGTTCAGTTTGTGGTGAGAGTTTCCTCCAGGGTTTTGCACAGGTCACATTTTGACTGTGAATGTTACCACCACGTTTATTTCATGATATTTTAGGAGTGTTGAAGGGTTAAAACGTCACCTGATGTATTGGCGGTATTGAGCTGAGGTGAGGGCTGCTGGTGTGTAAACCTAAACAACACATCTACACTAATCTTAGCTGCTGATGTCRAAAATACTTGGGAGAGGAGCCAGTTCAGCTCTGCTTGTATCGTTTATTTTGTGACTGTTCTGCTTTTGTTTCCCTACATTTGTTTAACTAATCTAAGGACGGTGGGATTAAAAAAATAAAAATAAAGAYGTGGGGGCTAAAGAGGAAGGGTGTAGTTTACCCAAACCTAACAAATCTTGTTTGTAAAAACATTATACAACTTGGGGAAGCATTGCATTAACTAAGTAATCAAGTATTATATTTTCATATTAATTTTTGTTTATACTGTATAAAACTATAGTAACTACCAATACTTAAAACCCTGACAATTTGATCTCTTTCAATTGGCATTCAAGATTAGACATTTATTGTCATAAAACACAGCAAAAGCGTGGTTCCACTTTCCTTCACACAACTGAAATAAAACTAAACTGAACTAAAATAAAGAAGAGTAAACTTAACTCCCAGATAGGACACTAATATAGTTGAGCGCCATATACAGTCAGAATAGAATGTGCAAACAGGTGCAACACTGTAAATA